GATTTTAGCTATTTCATGTAATAAAAACTTATTTGAAAAAAAATATTTCATGGTTATTGGTTAGAACATGATGCATACCATAGAGGGTTAACCCACTTTATAGTGAATACAGCTGTCCACGCCTTTCTAATTAGCACAGCAAAGCATATAGCACGCACATGGCTTGAAATCGAAACTTCTGCAGTAGTTTGCCACTTAAGCACAAATTAACAGGTAGCAAAAAGTCTTTTGTAGATTCCAATTACAGCTAACAGCAAACAACATGCACAATCAGCATAACTTTTTAAATAAAATAAGCAGTAAAATAATTAATCCTCCCTACTAGCAGATATGTAATCTAAACGACAGAAACAGAAAACTGGTATTAAGCAAGACACTTACGCATTCTTGACGTGTCCACTGACAAATCGCTTTAATTTCCTAAGTTATTATAAATGTGACCTTAATTGCCTGCCGCTTGTAAACCTGTCCTTCGGACAATGCAGCTGCATGTGCAATGTTTATGGTTCATTGAAGTATGGAAAATATTTTGTAAACTCATTTGGATTTTACAAATTATCTTTAAAATATCTTTTCAGTATCTTGAAAAGGGACGTTCCTTTTCTTTTTCTTTGCTGAGTTTATTTGGCACTGATATTTTACATTGTTAGACCAATCAATTACAATAACACACACACTTGTTACTTGTAAATGCGTCTAATCCAAATACTTTACCCAACTGCATCAGCAGGTTTTAAAATAGCGATATACACATAAGTGCAGTAGTAGGCTAAATATCATTTGCATTTGAAGATAAGTATTACATTGATGATGGTGACTGACAGAAATACTGGGAGCAGGTACCAGGGATTTAGAACATCCTAGAAAGATCAGTCAGAATATTCAGCAAGTTTTTGTTAATTAATTTTCAAGTCTCTGATGTTACTGGCTGTCAGAGCTCTTTGCACCTTTCTCATTCCTGGGTTGATTGAGCAGCTCCTCTATTCGTTGAAGGTCATTATCAGTGTCCTGATGTTTCTCACACTTCATTTCTCCAATAAGATCATCTGTAAGCTTGAGACGAGCATTCCTGTAATGGAGACATCAGCTCAAGTTTCTGTTCAAAGTGACTAGTTTATCAGTTCTGTCCAAGTACGAAAATATTCTCTTTTCCTGGTAAAACTAACCATTCAGCGACTCTCTGCTCATGTAGCTCTCGTCTTTCCCGTTGTCTCTTGTCATGCATGGTCTCGCCCTCCAGCTTCTGCAGACCAATGACTACAACTCCAGCCGGCAGCCTGTTATAGCATCACATGTTTGTCTCAGAGCAATTAAGCAATATCACATGAGCGAGAGTGCCGCTGTGCTGAATAGCAGCACAGATATAAACACAAGGTGCACAGGTATTCATGGCCATGCTTATATTCAGAACAAAAGCATTTCATTCTTCTGTTCTATAACAGATTAACAGATTTTTCAGACACAATATAGCCATGCGTTTTGTTCATGTTTTTTTTAATGAATGAAAATACTTACAGAAGTCAAAACAGGATGAAACACTGGCATTCTATGTACTGCAGGGGTGCAACTCTGGTCTGACAGGTGGGGGGACCAAAACCTGTGCTGGATAATAGTCCATTTTTATTTCAGTTGCAAAATATTATTTTAATATGCAATGGATTATCAACAATAAAATAACACAAAGAACAATTTTTCAGGAAACTATATGCTAAGAATTTATTTCATTTGCATATCTGAAATTAGCAAAATATATAAATCCAAATGTTTTGTAGACAAATGTGTGAATGTTTTAAATGCGTCAATTATGCGTAATGTGTAAAAAGAACAATAAACAAACTTTTACTTGCCCTGCCAAAATTTCACTGGCCCCATCATGAAAAATAAGTTAAATAAAGACAAGTAAACAGTCAGTAATAAAATAAGAACAAATAAACAAATTCCAAGCAATACCATAAATATATACAATAATAAAGCAGGTCATTCAGTCAAGAGCAGATTTGACCAGAGTGAATTTTTCTTTTATTTTTTGTTGTTGTTGTTCCTTAATTAACATTAATGACTCAAGACAGCAGCAGGTTTAATCATTTGCTGTCACTTTAAAGACCAAATGCATGGATCACATATTTTCTTCCGACTGTTCATGTTGATTTAATACTTATTTTAACTCAGTTAAGAATCTGCTTACATACTCAACAAAAATGGGCATTTTGACTTTTTTTTTTGTATTTGTCCATTACATAACGCAAAAGAGAACACAGTTCAGACAGAAACAGCACGTGAGTACCAAATAGAGTTATCTTTCATGTCTTCTTATGCTTAAATGACTTAAACTCATTTGAATGCTTAAACATTCTTGCTCTTTAAAGGGATACTCCACCCAAACATGAAAAATTCCCTTATCATTTACAGTCCATTTCATCATGCAGTCCCAGATGTATGTGACTTTATTTCTTCTGATGAACACAAAGCTTTTTAGTTTATATAATGCAAGTGTACAGGACCACTTCAAAGACTACATAAAGTGAACATGACTATAAAGTTTAAAATACTAGTATTTTTCTTACACATGCTTATCATTTCACTTAAGACATATTTTTGGCCAGATACTTGTACTTTTAACTGACTAAAATCTTCCACTCAGTATCTGTACTTTCTCTTAAAGTACATATACTGAGTATACAACTGTATTTGACACTAGGTGCCGAGGTGGGGCAGAGCAGGCATAATTTAGTCTGTCTTTAATGCAGCATTGAGTCTTTACACTGAATTTTAAGCAGGCAAAGAGCAGTTTTAACTGTGGAGTCTGCAGCCTGTTCAATCAAATTAGTAGACAGAAACTAATTCAATATGACTCATTATTATTATGAGCAGTACTACTAGTAGTATTATTTATGTGTTGTGCTCATTAATATATTGACAAACTTGAAAAACTAGCCAAACTAAAATTTGCAGCCAGTAGTAGTTTTGGAATCATACAAATGTATTTTTAAAGTCCCCCTGTAGTCAAAAATGTTATCCTTTAAAACTCATCTTTGATCATCAAAATGACATATTTAAATGTTTTTTCTTGTGAAAATAATTTTCTCATGCCTTAAAATAGCTTGAATGCAACTCAACACCCTTGCCTCATTTACTATACGCGGATCTATGAATACTCAAATTAGCCCCGCCTCCACTCAGTCACACACCAGCCAGCGCCTCCTGATCCACTAAATGAACTGTAGTAAACGTGATACAATGGCAATGGCAAGTGGAAATATTGTGTTTGAACCAGAAATAAGTTGGTATGCTCAACGTAAGTAAGAAGACTGATGGCTAACTTCGTGAGGTAACATTATCTGTTTGCGCTAGTTTGTACACGGATAATGACTGATAAAACTGTTTTACCTAGCGGACAACTACAGTGGATACTGTAACATTCGTTAAATTTACTTACTTGACGATGTTGTGTCCTCAAAATGCCTTGAAGACTCAAATGCAGCCAAGTTTGTGATTCCAAATTGCGCCCGCGATCATACGCGTGTGACGTGCGGATGTCA